ACTGAGGAACTCGTAGTTCTTCCGGGAGGCTCTAGTCAGGGGAGGCCAGTCACAGGGCGGTGAAGAGGGGGAGAAGCTGAGTCCTCTGTCCCAGAAAGGGCATGGTGGCCCCTGTCCTGTCCCAAAGGCTCTGAGATCTGTAAGATCTGGGCCCTGGGGTCCAGAAAAGGAAAAATTATTTTGGAAAGAAGATAGTATGTATTCCTCTTGCGTTTCTTCTCTTTGTTACCTCCACCTCTGTTCCTTTCATTTCTGAAATTCCTGGGTTCTAACAAAGTGCTGACACAAAGCAGGTCCCTAGAAAATTTTGCTGAAATGACTTGAAAACTAGGCATGAACTCTGCTTCTGGTGACCACTAGAGAGAGCTGAAAGTCAGGAATTGAAATTCCTTCTAAAGTTGAGCCTCCTATCTAATCCCTTTCCTTGTGCCTCTGGAGTCTCCTTGACATTTCAGCTTATTAGAATTCAAAACTTGCTTCAAAAACTCTGGCTCAAACTAGCACCCACCCTACCTACGCACCAGCTGTTGGATACCAGGGATTTGCTAGGGGCACCTGTAATTCCTGTCAGCTGGCCTGCTCTGCTGCTGTGAAATGGCAGGGTACTGCTGGCTGCCTCTTCAAACATGAAAAGGCCCTGGAGGAGAGCATATGCTCATAAAAATTATGGGATTCCATAGCTTTGAAATCTAATGATCCCCAGTGATCAAAACAGACTAGAGCCTTGGGGCTACTAGGGAAGGGACTGAGGGGGCAGCAGATCTTGGGTGGGAGAGCCTGGGGCCAGTCAGCAGGACACAGTAATTAGTATCAGTGGGAAGAGATGAGGAGGCTGGCAGCTTGAGGATGTCTGCATTGAGTCAGGGGAGAAACGACAAGAGCCAAGAGCAGGGTGGTAAACCACCCTCTCGCAAAGGAAACCAGTCTCCTCCACCCCTCCCCTGCCCAGTGTATGGTCACAGGGAGATAGACTTGTACCTCTTGGGTTGGTGGGGGTGGAAGGACAGTAGGTGGGATCAGCTCTCCAAGGCCAAGGCTACATGAAGGTCTGGAGAACTTGGGAAGAGAGAATACCAAAAGTATAGGTTGGTTGCGAGTGAAAGTAATAGTGAAAAGATGGGCTATGTTAAAAGTCAGACTTTGTTCAGACTCAATTTTTGCTCAGAGCTGGTCCTGCTGACACCCTTTTGGAAATAGGCTCACTGTATAGTTGTTGAATAAAGTGGGCAAGTCATTTTCCCCTCCTTGTGTTGGCTTCCTCATTTGTAAAAGGAAGGATTTGGACTGGACCAGAAGTTAATTATCAGAGCTCAAATTCCAGTCTGCTCTGTTGCTGTTGAAGTGTGTGAACCAGCAACAGACTCTTTTTATTATACAGGTTTCAGTTTCTCCACTTCAATTCAAGGCAGAATATGAACAAGGGAGACTCTACAGTTACTCCTAGCTTTGTCATTGTCACAGGCCTCTCTTTTGCATCACCCTCAATTGCAGGCTCTGTTGCTGCCTGGCTGTTTAACCCAGCTATACTAGTCCCTTCAGGTTCCCCCATCAATAACAAGGGAGAAGAAAAGGGCTTTAAATGGATTATTGCTAAGGTCTTTGCCAATTTTCAACATGGCATGCTTGTAGCAAGGTGGTGGCCTTGGTGGGGCCTCCACTCCAACTCAGTCACTAATCATGTTCTCATTTTGTGAAGTAACCACTTTTCTACTTCAGAGCTCCCTAAAAAAAATCCAATCCTGAATAGTTCATCCAGCTCTAAACTCCTTTTCCACTTTCTGCTATCAGAGAAGATTATATATCTTGGCATAAACTTGACTTGAAATGAGACTTGTTCTGAAGCTAAACCTTCTGCTGTTAACCAGGTTAAGATTATTTCACCCTTGGAGGCAACATACAAACCAAAGCTAGATTTTTCGATCTGTTTATTTTGTTCCAAACCTTTTGAGGATTTAAATGTCCCAGATCTCAAGCTCCCAAATTTTGTTCGTTCTCCTAGATTTAACTGTGGTGCAAAAGAGGCTGCATCTTTCCCTAAGTATTAATACTGTGCTGCTTTCACCAACCAACATTCTCTCCAAAAGTGCATAAGCACACACATGTACATACACATGTTTGGGAGAAGTAAATTGACACCCGGCCATGCCATATTATGTAATACCTGATAGGGCAGATTTGAGACCTGTGAATGTTTTCCCTCATCTGGAGAGAAGTGGGTGGCAGCCTAATTCTTAAGAGCGATCCACACTTTGAGCAACAAGGGAGGCCCTGCAGAAGTGCCCTCAGGTGACTTGGTGGGGGTTGGGCAGGGAGGAATGGGAGCAGGGGCTTTGTTGCTCCAGTATTCTCAATGGTCTCTCCTGGGAGTTAAAGTGCTCCTGGGGCCCAGCTTCTCCTATTTCAGTGCTGTTTGAGATAATAGGATAGTAATTAGGCAAGCCCCTTCCTATTCACAGAGCTAAAAACCAATGGGTTTTCCTTTGGGGAGTTGATAAGAGCTGGACTGGGACCAATGTAGAGGGCTCAGGACTTTGGCCTTGAATGAAGCCATCAGAGGCCAGCCACGCCCCAGCTGCCTGTTTGTAACGGAAAAACTCATGGGTAGGGACCACTGTCTTCTTTGGAGCCCCTCAGGGGCAACCTCATACTCCTGGCCCCGGAATGGCCCTGGCTTGGGGTGGCAAGTCACTGTTAACTCTAAGTGACAGCCAAGGATGCCTGGCAAGAAGATGACGAAAGGTGAAGGTAACAAGAACACAATAGACAAAGACCCAGAATAGGGAGAGACACAGAGGCAAAGTGAGGAAAAAGGCTGAGCTCCTAATGAGGTGAGTTGTGCTGGCTGGACACAGCCTGGATGGAAATGCTCTTCAGTAGGAGTGCTGCCCAGAGCCTAGGCATAGGGAAGTATCTGGCACCTATTTCATAGGGATAAAAATGATCCAGAGTCTACCTTTTCTGGCAACTTTAATGCCCACTAAGTAGAGTGGTCAAGGATGCCCAGCATGGGGACACATTGGGTGGTAAAGGCTAGGATGGTTTCCCTTTCCTAGAAGAAACTGTCCAACAATGTGCATTTCCATCTCTACCTTTTGAAGGATCCAGGTTGGAGATGGGATTTTTCCCTAAAACAGCTCATTTTCTGGCCTGGCCCATGTGGAAATGTTGACCGGTAATGAATAATGAGAGATGGAGGAGTTGGTCCTTCACCGGTCAATAACCATTGCCCCTTCCCCCCACTATGCCCTGTCATCAGTCTTCCTCTGCTTGCTGAGATGAAAGGAATTTCTTCACATTTTGACAGGTGAATTCAAGGATGGGGAGCTAGGAGAGCCTGCAGGTTAATGCACTGGTCTGGGAAATATGTAAAAATCAGTGAGTGGAACTTTATGGCATGTAAGGTTTCTTCCCTATGTAATATTCTACTTTTCCAGTCTATGATTATAGCAGCTTGAGCCAAAAAGTGAGATGTGGTTCAGCCTGAGATGAGTGGGATTGATTCTAGTGTTAGGGGTGGGCTAAGCCAAGGTTAGGTTGACTGGCCCAAGCCCTGGGTCCCTCCTTTCTTCAAGCACCCATAAGTCTATGACAGTAATAAAAAGAAATAGAGGGGAAAGAGAAGGGAGAAGAGGCAGTAGAGGGAAAGAAAGGAGGAAGGAAAGAAGGACCAACCACATGATGTGGAAACTCTCTGTACACTTGTAAAATGATGTCAGCCACAGCTCTTGGGAAGCCATAGCTCTTACAGACTTTGAGGATAAACAAGGCTTCTTGTCTCATTTTACCTCTATGCCGTTCCCCCCATGCCCCCAAACAGTTCCAAAGGACAGATGGCAAGGAACTCCTCTGCACACAGGTCCTTGGATCTTCCCACCAGGCTTCTGGGGACACAGTAGCACCTTTGGCAGTTGCTTTTAGTGAGTGACTAATAAGCTGGGCCAGGAGTTCCCATCCCCCAAGAGTTGAAAAGTATATGGAGAGGTTCCAAAGGCCAGGAGATGAACCCAAGCTTTGCTAGATCCTGGGAGAAGAGAACCCTGGCAAGTTTAAAGGCATTCATGGGGAGAATTTGATTAATGAGTTTGGAACACCTGGAGCTTTGGCTCCAAGGGATGGTCAGGTGGCTGAAATGCTGTGTGTGCAGGTTTGGGAACAAGTGTGCTGGTGGCAAAAATGTAAATGCTGAGCAGGGCAGGGTGAAGGGAAAGGTTTGGGGAAGAGCACACAATGGCAAAGAAGAGGCATTAGATTTGTTCTTCAGGGTTGGGGGAGCCTGGCAGCAGCTCCCCGTTGGGATCTGGGTCAGGGGCCAACATCTTATCCTTGCTGGAATCCCTTTGCTCTTTCTTGAACATCCTTTGATGCATCAGAGGGACGAACAAGAGGATTACAGCCCCGATGATAGGGGGCACACCGGCAAAGTAGAAGGCCACATGATAGTCCCCAAAACAGTTGCGGAGGAGGCCTGAAACAGTCAACAGAGACAAGTCAAGCTCAGCTTTGCCCTACTGCCCAAAAGTGCTCTCTGCCCCTTCTAGGGGCCATTAACAATGCCTATCCAGAGAATCTTGGACTGTACAGCCTTGACCTAGAAGCCCCTCTCAGTTTAAATATGCCTGGATGGAAGAAACAAAACCTCTATTATAAAGGCAAGTGGCCTTTCCCTGAGGCACTGGGGCTACAGGTTCGTGAGGGTAATGCTCATTATAAAATAAGCTAATGAAGCTTCTCAAAGATCTCCATTTTTGACTTTCATGAAGCTACAGCTAACTTCTAGTCACTCCTAGGTATGGAGTTAGTAAGGAAGCTAGGTTAAAAGAACTCTACAGAAGATGGCCAAGCCTTGTCTGGCTTCACAGTGATATATCCGCCTACACCCTAACTTGGGCTAGAATGTTCTTGTGGAACAATTCAGCCAAGTTCTCATTTTCCCTTTCTCTGAAGTGCCTGCTTGCCCTAAGAGGAGGCTGGATGTGTCTCTTTCCTTCCAGCTGCAGATATGTTTGGCTCTTCTGGGTTCCTCTAAGTTGTGGATGTGTTTGGCATGGAACACAGGGCCTCCCCTGCTCACTTCCAGAAGCTAATGTGGGCCACCTCATAGGGAGGATGGGCCCAGAAACACTACTGAGGAAAAGTAAGTCAGCCTGGAAGCTGTTTAGGAGGTAAGCAAAATGGAAAAATATAGATTCTGGGATCCACCCTTGGGGTCAGAGCAGGTAGAGGCTGCCCTCCCTCAGTTGGCAGTATGGCTGTTGTACAAGGGCCTGAGTAGAAGGTTTTGTCAGTATAACACAGCCTGACCAGTGCTCTCACAACACCTTGTGCAGAATTGATGTTCAAGGAATGTTTTTTGAGTTAGCTCAGTTGGCCAGCCTAGGAGAGGCTAGCCCATAAATCAATATTTGCAATAAATCCTAAAGAGAGAAAATGTTCTCTTCTTATTAGTTTTCCTTGTTTCCTATATTCCCTGGAGCACCAACAATGCCTTTCTTGAAAGTGAAGAGAGTGCTGAAAGATGGCAAGCCAGAACTTTTGCCTGCTGCCTGCTGCAAGTGAGCCTCATTGGTCCAGTCCTGAGTTGTGGTCTTAATCAAATCTTCTCTACAGTTCAATTCAGAAGCCAATAGAGGAGAAGGGGGATGTCTCTAAGTCTTAGTAAGACATGGCCCACTTTCTCTTCTCTTCCTGCTCAACTATCTTTCTAATAATTACTTGCCTATGAAGAAAGAGAAGATTCTGGACCAATAGAATGGTCAAGAAGGCCAAACCCATTTCTCTCTCTACCCTCCTGGAATCAGCCATGCTGTCTACAGTAAGACTCCACTGAAGCAGATATACAGCCATGAAAAGCCCATTTCCCAATGTGAATCCATGCACATATACTGTGCTTAGTCCCTTTCACCAATAGTGCTAAGGGGTTTCGTGCACTCTGACAAGGCTGCATAAATAGAGAATGAGAAGAAAAGGGACTTCAAGCAGAAATTCTTAGGAGAGCTAGATCCCAAGGAAGACAGGACTCCCCCACTCATACCCTCCCTATATATCATCCTCACCTGCAATGGGGGGTCCAGCAATCATTGGCAGGGCCATCATGCCCAGGAGGTAGCCAATGGCCTGTGAGGCCTGCATGGGGCCCACCAGCTCAAATGCGATGGGAGCCATGATGGTGATAAAGAAGCCATCACACAGGCCCAGGAAGAGGCAGACGACGATGAGGCCCCCGAAGCCCCGGCATAGGGGAATCATCATGGACATCAGGCCCAGGAGCAGGAAGGAGATGACCTAGAGGAGCAACAGACTGAAGTCATGTTGTGCTTGCCTGCCAAGACCACATAATAAATCACATCTCTTTCCTTAGGGCCTCATTTATACCATCTGTAAAATGGGGCAAAGGGATGTCAACAGAAAGACTAGTTGGACTAAATAGTTACTTAGGTCCCTTCTAAGTCCTGCTTAGAGGGACTTAGGATTCAAAATTCTTAAGAGAGCCCTTATTTAACTTTGATTCTGTCAAGATTTTTTAAAAGGTAAAGGGCATGGCCCCTGTCCTCAAGAAGTTGTCTTTTCACTGGACTCTAAGATAAACAAAATTGCTTTTTCTACTTTCTGATTCTTGTGTTTGTCTACTCCAGGCATCAGGGTCTGGGATCAGACCATGCTGGTGTTCTTAGATCCAAGTTAGGTATGGGAAAAGGAAGGGGAGGAAGTGAGGATGACTTGAATAATGATTGGATGCATGAATGGAAGGCACAGCTTTCTAAAATGGGAAAGGAGCCAGTGCCCATTTCTGTGGGAGACTGCTTTTAGAAAACATCTTGGTGTGAAGGAGACCATTGGGAGGTTCACCCAGGTTCCTTAGGCTTTAGGACATGGGACACACTACCCATCACAGATATCTTAGGGTGGCTCTGGGGGCTTCTAAGCTTGTCTGGGCACCCTGCAGAGGCAACAAAAGGGTCTTTAAGGAGAACCAAGACACTAGGAGGAGGTCTAGGGAAACTGAAGCCAGCCCAAGGGCACTAACTAGCCACTGGGCTTTCTTTGGGCTGAGAAAAATGACTCTGAAGTAAAGAAGCTGCCTTTCCAGAGGCTGTTTTTCCCATCTCAATAGAGAGAAGGGCCACTGGAAACACAACTGGCCTTTTAAATGAGGTCATCTGCAACCTATGTCAGTGAGCCAGACTGAAGAGCTGGGCTGTGGGTAGAGAAAGAAGCTCCTTCCCCCACCCACTTGTAGCCAGTGGAGTCAGGTTGTCCCAGGGTCAGGGCTAAGACCTGATCTGTTTACCAATGCCTTGACAGGACCTAGGATTTTCCAGTAGTTCGCATAAGTAGACTGCCTTACCCAGGAAGGGTAAGTCACCGCATGATAAGGATATGTCACCATTATCACCACATGGAAGGTGGGCAGGAAGGTCAAGGATGTCTCAAGCCCTAAAGATTCCCTGTTTTGTTGCTGGCAGTGGGTTTGTTAGGCTAACTGGTTGGTTTTGGAGAGGATAAGAAATGTCCTGGTCATGCCGTCTGAGGAAATCTCTTTGTTGAGGGACTTTTGAACTTTGCCAAGGCTGTCTTGGAATAGCTACTCAGAATCTAGGAATAAAGACTTATATATCTTAGTTTCTTCTCTAAGGTTTCATGTACAACTGTAAGATGAAACCAAGCTATATCAACCAAGCTATAATAGTATGGCAATTAAGAGTTAATATCATCATATAATACAAAGGACCCCATTAACTGATTTCAATTTGCTCTAATTACTACCTATTGTGTCTAACTGCCTCTTAACATCTTCCATGACGTCTTGCCAAGATTTGTAATTTAAAAATCCCTCTTGGAACTGAGAATCAGGCCTCAAGAATTGGCCCAAAGTGAGGTTGTCCTGCAGGTTGTCATCATTTCCTTTCCAACAGACTGTCTAGGGGCTTGACACCAGACAGATGTACCTGTCTTCATCAATAGTAGGAACCACAGGGTCTAATGGATGGCTCTTCAGAACCTGAAGCTCTGTGTACCTACTTTCCTCTCCCAGACCCTCATTCTTGCACCTGACCCAGGGAAAAAAGGAGGCAAATTCCTGTGATGGATTATCTTGAGTAGCTCAAGAGAAAGAAGTTCATTCATTGTCTTGTGCTCTCAGCCTGAGACACTTACCAGCACAAAGACTTTAGACAAATCACTTTCCCTCTCTGGGCCTTAGTTCCTCAGTTTGTAAAATGAGGGAGTTAGACTACAAGTTGATGAAGATATGTTTCAGCTATAAAGTTCTCAGATTATTTTTAATTATTCTAAATGGTAAAGTGGGGTTTAAATAAGAGTGGAAAAGGGGAGAGAATGATGGGTGGGTAGGGGAAGTGATAAACAGAAGCACTGGGCCTTAAGCCTAGCTCTGCTTCTGATTAGCTAATGTCTCTGCCTCCCTTGGAACTCTCTCTGCACAATAGAGAGCAAAAGCTGCTTTGGCCCCACGTCTCTCCTGGAGGCTATGGTGAGAAATGAGCTATATGGCTAGGCAAGGGCTGTTGCCTTTCCTGAAGATAAAGCCGTGGCCCAATGCTAGCTTATCCTGATTTCCAGCACCATTTGGCATCTTGGAACTGCTGATACTGACAGGGAAGATCCACAGGCATGGTATGCAAGAGGCTGGGAAAGCCACATATATGGTCCTATGCAAAAAGCCACTCAGGTAAGGGATTTGCTGATATTTTCACAGGAACTAAAAATGTCATAATTGGTTTATCTCAATCACAGGCTTTTGGTTTGACTTTGGTCAAGTCACTTATCATGGCTGGGACTTGGCTCTGCCATCCATCACTTAGGATAAAGTGGAATATGGGAAGAGTGCTACATAGCAGTTCAGCTCTGCCACTGCTGTCTAAGTCTTCCCTTCAGTTTCTCCATCAGTGTAATGAGAGATTGGACTGGATGGACCATAATGGAACCCCTAGTTCTGACAAAGCAGATTCACTAGCTCTTGCAAATCTAACACAAAGTTAAACACAACAAGAAACCTTAATCATATCCTTATCCAAGACATATGAGGGTATTTAGGAAAACACTTGGGGCTGTCAGAAGACAGAGAAATCCCTGCTGTGAGTACAGTCAGGGCCCGTTGGAAGTGCTTTTAGGGCTTCTCCAGGGAGTCAGAACTCAACCACCTTCCTGATGTATTATTTATGACCACGTGTTTTCTGGGGCTGCCATTGCCCCTCCACAGGGTTCCACACTTGGGCACCTTCTGGTACACCCAGCTGCATGAGCCAAAAGCATGAGCCAGTTCAGAAGGCTATATTGTTGCCAGGTACACAAAGACAGACAGCTTGACTGGTAGTTTGTATTCAAGCTGGACTAGAGCCCAGTTTACACAGAAAATGGCCTCCCAGGCACCCCATAATATGAGGCCACCTGTGTCAGTGTGAGAAGGATTTGTATGGCTTTGTATGGCTTTTTATGGTTATAACATTTTTTACTTCTCAAAGCCAGGTCACACCTATACTTATTTTGATCCTCACCTGCAAGGTGAGATAGGAAAGGCAAAAATTATTCTTAGCGCACAAAGGAGGAAAGTGAGGCCTAGAGAGGGGGAAGTGAGATCTGGGCTTTTCTGGCACTTTTTTTGTATCCATCAAGAGGATGGCATTTGAGAGCCAGTGTTTAGTGCCAAGTAGCTCTGGAAGTATAAGAAGTGATGACCTGGGCCTAGGCCTGGAGGAGAGAGACACTGGGCCACAGAGTACTACAGAAGCCTAAGACCCTCCAAGAGAGTATAAGATAGCAATGAGATCAGTCCTTACTGGGGGCGGCATTTAACTCCTAGCTTCAGTTTCCCTCTTTCAGGTGAGAGAGCCTTCATTAATAAACATTTTCTTTGAAAGTGCTTTTAGAGGTTCCATTTACACTGCTCTCACTGGATACTCACTTGAAAGAAGCAGAACAAGGATGATGGCCTTTACTTAAAAGCAAAGGAAACTGAGGCTTAGAGAATTTGATCGACTTGCCCATGTCACACAACAAGCTGATGTCAGAGCTAGGGCCTAGGGCACAGCAGTTACATACCCTACCATTCTGTCCCAAAGGTTGGGAATAGGATAACATAGCATCTGTGGCAGGCTGTTCTCCCCACAGTAGACAGGGTGGTCACACTCACCTGCAAGTAGATCTTCTTAAGGCCAGGAATGGAGTCACTGACACGGCCTGACACAAGGCGCCCAAGGCCTGAGGTAGCCCCAATACACACCAAGAGCACCCAGGTCTGCTTGATTTCCAAGAACTCCTCTTCCACATACTTCATCTGAAAAGCATAGCACCAGGCCCCCCAGGATATGAAGAAGAAGAGGAGCTGAGTGGTTGACTGTTGGCATACCCAGAACCCTCTACTGCTTATTCCCTTGGACTATGGCAGAAGTGCCTTCTCCTGTAGCCTCCTCCCCTGTAGCCCTCGTGCCAGGACAAGCTCTCTGGCTGCTTCTAACAGCTTAGTAAGTTGCTTATCCCTTAGCTGTCTCGATTCTGGGCTTCTGAGCAATAGCTGAGGGCAGTGAGTATCTCCAAGCCCCTTCCAAGTTCTGGCAGGACAGAATACAGCCTTCACAACTGAAAAAATCCAAGGGTTCCCTTATAATCTCCCCATTCTCAGACCCGGAACTGATAGCCTGGGGAAACAGCAGGTCATGAGGGTAGAAAGATCCACCAACCTCCAGATAATATTCCAAAGTGTGTTTTAAGAAACACAAGATCTGTGGAAGATAACAGCTGGACTAAAATCAACAGTTCTGTGACCAAAAAAGTTGGGTGGATGCTGGTTAAAGAAAGCTGAATTGATTACTGCAGGCTTTTTGATATCTTTAAAAGATTGATACACATTATGAAGCTAGAGAGATCTAGTTATTTCCTAAACAAAATTAGTTGACCACAAAGACCAGCATTCCATAAAACACACTCTTAGAAAACCCTATCTTTGGGTCCCCTAGGGCAGTCTCCTGTATCCCAGTGATGCTTATCTTCTCCTGAAAATCTATCTAGCTTTATCAGTGGGGGCAACCATAGGCATAGGCCTTCCCCTAAGGAACTTCCCCCATTTCCCATTGAGGTCTTCCCTCAGGCTATGCTCTTTCCTACTCTGGGTCTTTCCAACCACTGTTATGTCTTTTTCTAAAGGTCCCAGCTCTGCCCTTTCAGTGTCCTTTGCTCCTATCCTCTGGATTTCAGGCAGGTTAAGGGCAGCTTCTTGGGGCCAGGTAGGGTAGACCCACCCTGGTATTCCTCACCAAGTGTACATAGGGAACGAAGTAGCCAAGGGCAGCAGCAGCAATCCCGAAGGCCCAGATGCGGTAGGTACGTTGGCGGAACACTCGCATGTTGAAGTACTTCCTGAGCTGAGCCAGAAAGCGTTGGCACAGGGTGTGAACACCTCTCTTGCTTGGGGTGTCCTGGGAGCTAGGCAGGAGGGGCCGGTAGGTGAGTGAAAGCAGCGTAAGAATAAACATAAAGGTACTCAGCACCTGGAAGGTTTGGGCGAGCTGGATCTTAGCCCCCAGCGTTTTGATGAGGAGGGGGAAGGATATGGAGAAGATGCTACTCCCAGCAGACACCACACCATTGGCCAGACCCAGGCGACGTTGGAAGTAGTGGCCCAGGATGACGAGAGATGGCTGAAAGGCGAAGGAACAGCCACAACCAAAGAGAATCCCATAGGTGAAGTAACGCAGGCTTAGCGAGCTGTGGAAGAGACACCAAGAGCTATCATTCAGAAGCCTGACCAGCAGGCCACCTGCCCTTCTCCTCCCACCCTCCTGAGACCTTAATTCCCCCCATCCTTAACCTACAGCCCACTTATTACTGACCCTCAGAGCAGACAAGGAACAGGACCTTTTGATCCCCACTTTGTAGATGGGGAGACAGAGGCCCAGATATGTGAAGTGATTTACCCAAAGTAGCATGACTGGGGATCAGCAAAGCTTTGGCTTGACTCTAGGTCTGTGTGACTCTAGTCTGAATCCTAGCATCTCATCAGAGAGGATAGTTCAAAAGTCACAGCTAGGCTATGCAAAGTCTGGATGAGGGCCTACAAGGAGTAAGTCAGTGCCTTAAAGAAAATAGTTCCACCTACTGCTCACCTAGATGCCAGGGGGAGTCTGATACCAAAGATTTATCCCAAGTAACAAGAAAATTCTGCAAGGAGCCAAGGTCCTGGAAGGTTGAGACCCTCCAAAGGACTCTTCAGTGTCTTCCTCCATGCTCAAGGCCCTTAATATTTCAGAGAATGGTTGGTGGTATCCTGAGAGACACTCCCTCCCCAACCATGCCAAAGGTCTGGATATCCTAAGACCCTTTACTGTAGGCCTTAGATAATAGCCATGGAGATCCTTAGGTAAGGAGTCCCTGTAACTTCCAGAGACTGGCTTCTGTTGCTGGACATGATATAGACTAGCTTTCCAGAGTAGTTTGGCTGCTTGATGGGAAGTAGTGCCTCAAAGAAGTTGTGGGCCTGGCCAAGTAAGACATTTCTCGCTAAAACTCTTGGGTCCTGCCTTGGCCATAAGCTCCTATTTACAGAAGGCAAAGGGTCAGAGGGAAAAGGCCATGGGAAGGTCAGCTCAGCCAGCCATCTGCCCTCAGACAATATTAGCACAACCTAGTGAAGAATTTTGTCTTCTTTTTGATGCCTCCACATATTTTGCAATAGTTCTTATCTGACCTTTTAATAACCTAATACTCTCCATGGTCAGGCAGTTCCTCTCCATAGATAGACCCAGTCCTCATACTAAAGGACTGGACTTATGCCACAGAGATGAAGTGGTGCTAGTACTCATGATTCTAAGATAGCTATCATCATCATTGCTTTCAATCTGCCTGCATTCATTGGATATGAGCAAGGGCTTTGGTGCCAAAAGGGTTGCTTCTAGTTAGAACACATAGCTAAGTCAATTGTTCCTCTTATGTCAGATTCTTTGGGGCCTCATCCCATTAGGGTCTAGATACCCTTTGGGACTAACCTGGGCTGGGGGCCTCGTCTAAGGGAGAGGAGTTAGGAAAGTCTAAGGGAGACCTTCAAGGAGGAGGGTCAGAGGGAGCAAACATGGGATTCAGTTCAGGATGCTGTGTGGTGAATCTATTTCTAGCTGGGCCCCACGGCAGGAGGTCCCTGAGTAGGCTTGCCAAGGCCTCCCCAGCTCTGCCTGAACTTTGCCCCACCTCACACCATCCAAAGGAACTCAGAGCCCTGATTCAGACAACAGGAAGGATGACCTGGAATTCTAGCCACAAGCAGAACCATTCTTCCACTAGACGTGAAACCATCCAGAAAGTTTCTTGGCTCTGAAGATGTTCTTACAGAAAGGGCAAAGTGGGTGGGGGAGGATCCTAGGGGCTGGAGAACAGAACGCCTACTCCAATGTGCCTAAAGAAGAGTGCCAAAAGAAAGCACATCTGAGCTCCTTCCCCTGCTGTAACTGAGCTCATGTGGATTGGAAGGAAAATGGGATCCGTATGTTGCTAATTTGTTTACACTTTGCTCTGCTTGGCTTTAAAAAACAGGCCTCTGCTATGTAGTACCGAGACTGGAGCCGCTTCTGAGGCCTAGCTCCTTCCCACAAGGAGCCAGGCACCAGCTTGCTGAGGGCAAATGAGGCCGACCACCAGAAGGGTCCTGAAAGGGTTTGGAGCTGCTGCCCTGAGGGTGCTGAACAGATTACAGGCAGGACATGGTTTTCCCTGCCTCTGTCCCAATTGGATGGTACCAAGCCAAGAAACCATTGCAGGCCAGATCCAAGCTCTGCTGGAGGCTAGGCTGGGCAGCCGGAAATGCTCAAATCATAAAGAAAGCTGGCTCAAACTTACAGGGCCCAATTGCAGCAGAACACAATTATCATTCTCTGCTGTGAGTGGAACCTTAGGCCTAGAGAACAGAACCATGGTGCTTCTCTGGGGAGCCAAGCTCAGAAAGCAAGTCTCTGACAAGTTAGCTGTGTCTCCAGGCAGGCATTCTCCTACACCAACCCAGGCATATTGGAAGTAGGAGGTACCATAACTTCCAAAGTGTCTTTGGCAGAAAGTCAACGGAGTTCTTTAGGAATCCCTTATTCCTCAGGAAGTGGTAAAGGGTTTTTATTTCCCCCTCCCTTACAGACATGCTTCTGCAGAGCTGGTAGAAAGAAAGCAGAAAGTGAACTTGTAGCCTGCTCCTTGCCTGATACCACCAAGTTCCGCCAGTGAGACCAATGGGACTAGAGTTTGAGTTTACCCAGCTTAGGGTTATCTAGGTAGCTGGGTTCTTGGTCTGTAGCTCAGTGAGGGATGCTGCTAAACATCCCTTCTCATGCTCAAGACATGAATCTTTATCTGTCCATCCATACATTGGTATCCAGAAATACCCAGGAAAAGACCAGAAATGCTAAACAGCCTTGGGCTCAGCTGACCTCTTTTTCAGCATAAGATTCCCTGAGGAATACTGTAATGGTAGGTGTTCACATGGGCTTACTCTAGAAGTTCATTCCCAAGAGGGCAGTTGAGGTCATGAGATGTGCAAGATGCGTAGCACTGAAGAGAAATGGAATGGCAGAGTTGGAAGACACCTGAAAAGACCTGATCTAATCTCCTCATGTTACAGATACAAAAATTGAGGCCCAGAGAGGGGAATGGTATTCATCAATTGTTACATTGCCATTCGGTGGCCAAAATTGGACTTGAGCCTTCCTGTATTAACTCCCAAGTTTGGACTCCTTCCACCATTTTGGAACTCTTGGGTCCTTTTTGGGTATATTCCCTACCAATGTGTAATGGGGACCCACCCTAGATGAATCCCATTAGACAATAATTCTTGGGAGAAGAGCCTTTAAGGACCCTTCATGGAAAGAGCCATAGGGGATTCTGCAATGAGAAGAAGGTCTCTTGCTGAAGCCCAGAAATAAGCCAAAACTCAGCCTTGGGCAAATGGCTAGCAACACCTATCCTTACCTGGTGAAGGAGCTGGTATGGAGGCCAATGAAAGCGACAGCAGCCCCTGCAGTTGCTGTGATTCGGCAGCCCAAACGATCAGTGAATATACTCACAATGGGAGAACAGAAGAAGATCATGCCCATTGAGAGGGCTCCTACCCATGCTGCAGAGAAAAGAAGAACAAAGACACCTTAGTTTAATGTGGTATCTGGTGGTGTGGCTGGTATCTCAGTTCTTCTCTGGCCTTTCCCAGAGGGTGTTGCATTAACCTGCACTGCCAGCCTGCCAGTCCCTAATGGCCAAGGAGGTTAGGCAATTTTCAAAGTGCCTATAGCAAGGCAATGTGAGAACCAGGAGTCTAGTTCATAAACACACCCAGAACATCAAAGTTGGGGCAGGGGGCCTTTAAGAGATCAAGTCTATGATGGAGTCTTCTAGCTAGCCACCACATAGCTGCACTATATTTATCAGCCTATTGGGCTGTTTGGTATGACCATGTGACTGAATTCTGACCAATAGAATGTGGGTAAAAGTGACACACAGCACTTCTGGCCTGGACCATAAAAAGAATCCCATGATGTTTCTAATTTCTTGTGGGCTATATAACTGCAGAGTGACCTAGGAAGCCATGTATTAAGACTGGCAGAACTGCCATTAGTTCTGTCTCAGTCCCTGAATAACTATATGGAGCAAAGTTCCCCCTCCCTTTCCAATCTGGAACCCCTGCTCTGAATATTACATAAGAAATAAACTTCTTGTCCTTTAAACCACCAAATTTCTTAGGGCCATTTGTTACAGCAGTTAAATCAACACAAACTGAAACAAAGAGATTTTCCACTACTATTTTACTGATAAAGAAAGAGGTCCAGAAATGTGAAGGGATTTACTTTCACACAGCAAGATCATACAGCAAGTCAGTGGCAGAGGTGGGACTCAAACCTAACTCTTCTTATTTCTAGTCCAATGTTCATTGTATTATCTCTTATTGGAATGAATGAAGCTTCCCATCATTGGAGGTATGCAAGCAGAGGCTAGATATAAAACAGAGGATTCAAGCATTCGGGTCAGATTTGGACTAGCCAACATTTCAGGCTAACTTCCTGGGATTCTAAGGCAAATTTATAGCTTTAGGCACTGGGCTACTTTGTTTCAGGGTCAAGGAGCATGGGAGTTAATTAAGCATTCAGAAGCTAAGGTAAGGCTTGTCTTGTCATTGGAAGAGTCCTGTGAAGATGCTAAGACTAAGGAGTAGGGAAGGCCACAGAAAAAGTCCTGGAAATGCATGAGAACATAGGACAGGTTCGGAAGCCACCCAAAGACTGATAAGGACACTGTGCAAGAGGGTCATGCAACCCTCATGTGGAAATCCTTCATCAGAGCCCATGTTTGGCAAATCCCTGACTCCAAACTCAAACAAGAGTTTATTCTGTTTATAAAGGCTCTTAAGTGTCTGTAACAATGCTCAACAGGGAGGAAGAAATTTGCCCTTTTACTTAGATTCTTCCAGCCCATTTCCCCTTGCTCAGCCCTCGGAAAGCCTAAGCTATTTTTTTGTTTGTTTGAAGGCTGTTATCAAGTTTCATCTTGGGCCTCTCTTTTCTAGGCTAAACAATCTTAGTTTCCTTAACTTTTCCTCTTAGCTTTAATTTCTAACTCTGTAATTACTTTGAGAGCTCTCCTCTGAACACATTCCAAGTTTTCATCATCATCATCAAAAAGTACTCATTGAGTGTCACCTGAGCAGGGTACCAAGCCAACTTCTGGCTTTCTTCAATTGTAGAGCCCCTAATGGGCCAGAGGAGTACAGCTGAGGTTAGACTAGTCCACTGTCTGTGTCTCTTACCTCAGAGCCTAACACATTGCTCAGATCTCCACTGGGAATCTTTGCCTTGCTGGGGGTGTCATCTTGAGTCCTAGCTGGCTGGCTCCAAAAGTACTGGCCTGAGACAGCAAGAGAACTGAACTCTCATCACAATTTTACCTCATACCTTGCAACTTGACCTCTTATCAGCTATGGGACCTTGAGCAAGTCACACAGCACTTCTCTAATCCTCAGTCTTCTCATCCGTAAAATGGGGATTAAAATTCCCCATGTGCCTTCCTCAAAGTTTTTTTATCTAATGATGATCAGATGTGATCATATGTATGAGAGCTTTATAACTACCAATAGCCACACCAGATACAAAAATTAATACAAATGGATCATAGACTCACATGTTAAACTTAAAACATCTAGAAGAAAGTCTAGGAGAAAATCTTTCTGACCTTTAGTTAGGCAAAGATTTCCTAGATATTTACAAAAAGTATGATCCATTTAAAAATTGATACATTAAATTTCATCAAAATGTAAAATTTCTGCTCTTTGAAAAATACTATTATAATATGAAAATGAAAGGGCAAGACACAGGCTGGGAAAAAATATTTACAACATACACATATGATAAAAGACTGGTATTCAGAGTACAAATGTGAGTTGACTCTCACAACTCAATATGAAGAAAGCAAACAATCCAGTTTAAAACATGGGTAAAAGAAACAAGTTTATACTGTATAGCACAGGGAACTATATTCAATTTCTTGTAGTAATTTATGGTGAAAAATAATATAAAAAATAAATATATGTATATTCATGTATGACTGAAGCATTGTGCTATACACCAGAAATTGACACATTGTAAACTGACTATATTTCAATAAAAATATATTTTAGAAAACATACGTAAAAGATTTGGATAGACATTTCACATACATACAAACACACAATGTGAATGGCAATTAGGCACATGAAAAGGTGTTCAATATCATTAATTATTCAAGAAATGCATATTAAAACCACAAGAGATACCCCTATAAAACCACTAAAAAGTATTTTTATTTATTTATTTATTTTAACTTTTTTTATTGAGTTATAGTCATTTTACAATGTTATGTCAAAGTACAGTGTAGAGCACAATTTTTCAGTTATACATGAGCAGACATATATTCATTGTCACATTTTTTTCCACTGTGAGCTACCACAAGATCTTGTATATATTTCCCTGTGCTATACAGTATAATCTTGTTTATCTATTCTACATATACTTGTCAGTATCTACAAATTTTGAACTCCCAGTCTGTCCCTTCCCACCCTCTTGGCAACCACAAGTTTGTATTCTATGTCTATGAGCCTATTTCTGTTTTGTATCTGTGTTCTTGTTTTTTCAAATTCCACATATGAGCAATCTCATATGGTATTTTTCTTTCTCTTCCTGGCTTACTTCACGTAGAATGACATTCCCCAGGAACATCCATGTTGCTGCAAATGGCATTATGTTGTCAGTTCTTATGGCTGAATAGTATTCCACTGTATAAATATATCACTTCTTCTTTATCCAGTCATCTGTTGATGGACATTTAGGCTGTTTCCGTGTCTTGGCTATTGTAAATAGTGCTGCTATAGAGGTGCAGGTGTCTTTTTGAAGTAGGGTTCCTTCTGGATATAAGCCCAGGAGTGGGATTCCTGGGTCGTATGGTAAGTCTATTCCTAGTCTTTTGAGGAATCTCCACAGTTTTCCACAGTGGCTGCACCAAACTGCATTCCCACCAGCAGTGTAGGAGGGTTCCATTTTCTCTATAGCCTCTCCAACATTTGTCATTTGTGGACTTTTGAATGATGGCCATTCTGGCTGGTGTGAGGTGATAGCTCATTGTAGTTTTGATTTGCATTTCTGTGATAATTAGTGATATTGAGCATTTTTTCATGTGCCTATTGATCATTTGTATGTCTTCCTTGGAGAATTGCTTGTTTAGGTCTTCTGCCCATTTTTGGATTAGGTTTTTTTTTTCCTTATTAAATCGTATGAGCTGCTTATATATCAATGTGCATAGCAGCACTACTTACAATAACCAAGACATGGAAACAGCCTAAATGTCCATCGACAGATGATTGGATAAAGAAGTAGTATATTTATACAATGGCATACTATTCAGCCATAAAAAATGACAACATAATGCCATTTGCAGCAACATGGATGTCCTTGGAGAATGTCATTCTAAATGAAGTAAGCCAGAAAGAGAAAGAAAAATACCATATGAGATCACTCATATGTGAAATCTAAAAAAAAAATGAACATAAATACAAAACAGAAACAGACTCATAGACAGAATACAAACTTGTAGTTGCCAGGGACAAGGCGGGTGGGAAGGGACAGACTGGGAGTTTGAAATTTGTAGATATTGACAGGCATATGTAGAATAGATAAACAAGATTATACTGTATAGCACAGGGAAATATATACAAGATCTTGTGGTAGCTCATGGTGAAAAAGAATTTGACAATGAATATATGTCTGCTCATGCATGACTGAAAAATTGTGCTTTACACTGGAAATTGACACAACATTGTAAACTGACTATAACTCAATAAAATAAAATTTAAAAATAATAAAGTAATACATTTACGTATTCAAAAAAAGTTAAGCATACAATTACCATATGATCCTGAAATCACACTCCCGGGTATTTACCCAAGATAAATGAAAACTTATATTTATATAAAACATGTACCTAGATATTTTTGCAGATTTTTCATAACTGCTAAAGCCTGACAATAACTCAAAATGTACTTCAGCTGGTGAATGGACAAACAAGTGGATATACATTAATACAGGGGAATACAACTCTGCAATAAACAGGAATGAACTATTGGTACACACAACAACTTGGACAATTCTCAAAGGCATTATGCTAAGTGAAAAGAAGCTAGACACAAATTATTTCATTTATATTTAATTCTGAAAAGGCAGAACTATGGGGTCAAACAGATCAGTGGATACCAGGAGGAAAGGTTGGGAGAGAGGACTCATTATAGAGGACCATGAAGGAAATTTTTGGAGTAATGAAATATTATATACCTTGACTATAATGGTGGTATCTTTTGGTCAAAATTCAGAGAACTGAGCATACAAAAAGGGTGAATATTACCATATGTAAATTATACCTCAATAAATCTGGTATTATATTAAAAATGAGAAGGTGCAGGGAACCAGAAAGTGCTGGTAGAATATCTCAGTTATGATGTATGTATATTTCTTTAAAAAAATTAGTTTGAGTGTATTGTCAAAAATGAAAAAAATACTTAAATTTTCAGTAAATTATCTTACTGGCATTTTATTAACTACAACT